TTGTGTGTCGAAGGCGCTTTTCGCTTTACCACGTGCCGTGGGGTTTTGGGTCCTCCTATGAGCTCGGTGCTGCGCCCCACCAAACAGGTTCCAGCGGAATGTTGGCTCATGCCGCAGAAGATTGTGGTCGATGCCGGCATCCCGCGGGAGCCCCTGCTCCCTTTCCTCAAGGGGCACTTTTGGGACCAAGGTCAGCGCTACAATTTGGTCAGCACGGGAGGCCCTTTACGTTGGCCGCTACGCGACGGTGATGGGGTTCAAGAATGCAAAGTCTGGGATCCTCGAGGCCCACCTGGAAGCGTTCGTGTGTTGACTGCGGAAGAAGTCTGGGCGTGCCAGGGTCGTTCGAATGAGGCGTGGCAGGCGCTGCGGGCGGCGGGCGCTTCACCCGCTACGATCCTCGCTGAGGGCTCCCGCGCAACTGGCGGACAAACGGCAGCAGCTTTGGTACTGATGGCGGCCTACATCGCGGATGGTGGGGCCAGAGCTGGGGCGGGCTACGACGTTTTCGATGACGAGAACGTCAACAAGCTGTTGAGCTGGCTGCGTCGATGGAAACGCGGGTTGTATCCGCGAGCGAGGAGTGAACTGGGGAGGCGAGCGAGCGGCAATGACTTGGAGACCCAGTCTGAGGACGAAGGGGAGAACGAGCGACGGGCTGGTGGTGGTGATCCCTGGGCCCGTCATGTTCATGAGGGAGATGATCAAGGACCCCACCAAGGGCGCCATCAACATCCCGACCGACGTCTTCTAGGGGAACGGCATCTTCTACACGATTCGGGGCTACCAGAAGGGATCCAGCAACATTCGGGACGACGCCCCCAAGTCGAGGGGCATCTCCTACACGACTCAGCGCTACCAGAAGGGGTCCACCAACACCCCGGACGACGTCTCCCAGGGGGACGGCATCGGGTACACGATTCGGAGCTACCACAAGGGGTCCACCAACATCAGGAACGACTTCTTCCAGGGGGACGGCATCTTGTACACGATTCAGAGCTACCAGAAGGGGTCCACCAACATCAGGAACGACTTCTCCCAGGGGGACGGCATCTTCTACACGATCCAGAGCTACCAGAAAAGGTCCACCAACATCAGGAACGACTTCTTCCAGGGGGGCGGCATCTTCTACACGATCCAGAGCTACCAGAAAGGGTGGTGCCGAGCGAGAACGGGCCGAAGTGCGCTGGAGGCACGAGTGTTGAAGCACTAGTGTGG